CATTAGACTTAAATACAGTAAGTATTTCCTAATGTCATTTTTGTTTACGAATTATTTAGGTAATTTTAAACAGACTTTGCACTCCAGTTCACAGCTGAAAAACGTTCCCATTTGATACCACTTATAACCTCAGGTTTTTTTTTCTCAAAAAAACCCCCAACACTAGAGACCATCCCCTTCACACACTCAAAATCTTTTTTTTTTCTCTCAGCCACTCGAACTCCATGGATTAGATGAATAAAATCAAATTACTTAACTTTAGAGATAAAAACAACAACAACAACTAGATAATAAGACCAGTAAGTAAAAAGATGAACAGATGCTTATATATTATCGCCAAGATTGTCTTCTATCAACAAGCACCTATGGTTATGTCCCAAAGTTCAGCCTATTAGAATTAAGCTCGTGGGATCTGGCATGGTGTATGCAAATGTGGAAAGCCCATAAATGTTACACATTTATTCATTTTTAATGTTACAATACGTAAAATGAAATTAAACTTGAGAGCGGGGGTAAATTTGGATGAGGGGGTATAAGTGCATAATAAGGAAGGAAGTCGTAAGGGGACAGTCCGTTCGCGCTATCCACTGGGAGCCAAGTCTCCTGCCTCGCGTAGCTTCCTCGGGGGACTGTACAGTGTGCCGTCACCTTGGGCTGCTTACTCGGGGACTGTTACTAATTACATGTTTTATGACAAAACGCTCTAAACAAGAAAAAGTTGATATCGGGATGTCGACGTTTTTAGATTTTAGTCTACAAAAATGTTATTTTTTAATCTTATTCAATTCTGTTTTCAAAGATTTGAAAAAAAAAACCCCTTTTTAATTCGAAGAAACCAGGATTATACTTTAAGCAGTACCCTTGAATACCTTTACTGATACTGATACACACGATGTACTTACGTCAAAATTCTCAATTTTCAAATCTTCAGTGTTCAGTTTAAAACCCATCATTATTTTGGGTAGACTAATATTACTGACCGGTTAAAATAGCTTGCCATCTCAGTTTATAATTCTCTGATCGGCAGCAATAACAGAAAGACCCCCAACATAGGCCTATCACACACATGCTAGTACGGCTCTCGTGAGATTAAGGTGTTCGCCTCTCATTCCATAGGTTGCGGATTCGTATCCGGTTCGCGACGGAACATTTTCTTCTCTAAATTTGTCTCCTTTTACATCCTTCCCGGCTCTCTAACCTTGTTCTGTCGTCTGCTTTTGTATCCACTTTTTGCCCACACCCCTTCACCTCATTTGCCCCCTCCTCTAGACTACTGAGTCTTTCTGCAACATTTCTACTGCTTCTCCTTGGCTCTTTCTTACTGCTGTTTTTCTGCCACACCCCTGATCTTGTGGTAGGTAAGATCTACAACTAACCTTCGCGGACAAGGGCGAAAAATCTCTGAGGTCTCGTGTGCACGTTAAAGATCCCTTGGTGGTCCAAAATCGATAAGAGCACCCAGGAAAATTCAAAATATCCTCTAACTGAAAATGTTTGGTGTGTCCCGCGTGTTCATATGACCTTATGCAGTTGCGAGCAAAACAAAAACCCCAACAAAACACGCCCCCCTCCCCCCCCCCCCCCTCCCCCCCAGACATGCCAACCCCGACAACAACCATTACTAATTTTCTCATATTTTTACCCGGAACCCTAACCATTTTTTCGAATTTCCAAAATAAAAAATCATATTTCTTAAAGTTTCGATTAAAAAGGTGTCGGGGCTTTGAAAAGAGCTGCTGCTGCTACTACTACTACTACTACAACTACTGCTACCACTACTACCACTACTACCACTACTACCACTACTACTACTACTATTACTACATTATCATTATTAATAATAATAATAATAATAATAATAATAATAATAATAATAATATAATAATAATAATAATAACAATAATAACAATAATAACAATAATAATAATAATAATAATAATAATAATAATAATAATAATCAGAGAGAGAGGGTGAGAGAGATAGATAGATAGATAAAGAGAGAGAGAGAGAGAGAAAGAGAGAGAAAGAGAGAGAGAGGGGGGAGAGGGAGAACAGATAGATAGATAGATAGATAGATAGATAGCAAAGAGAGAGAGAGAGGGAGGGAGAGAGAGAGAGAGAGAGAGAGAGAGAGAGAGAGAAAGAGAGAGAGAGAGAGGGAGAGAGAGAGAGATAGAGAGAGAGAGAGAGAGAGAGAGAGAGAGAGAGAGAGAGAGAGAGAGAGAGAGAGAGAGAGAGAGAGAGAAAGAGAGTAATCTAGACATGACTGCGTAAAAAAAAACAACCCTTCCCCAACAACAATCGAACTGTTGTTTTCTTCACGCCATAAAAGAGCCTTACCAGATTACCACAACGCCACAGACACAAGTGAAGTATTACCTTGTCCTAGTTCGATAAAAAGGCACATTTCAAATTCATATCAGGGGTTTGGATTGGTCACCTGCAAACAGCTGGAACATTAAAATGTTTAATTGGTGTCTGGCCTCAGAGGAAGTGAACAGAATTTAAACACCGTGTCAGAAAAAAACAACGTTATTATGCTTCTTCTTAACCGCATCACTGCCCATGCCAGTAATTGAGTAATTGGGCAGGTGGGGCGTAAAAGCGCACCCCTGCGTTTCATAAACCCCAGTCGAAAGGCATGTAAATGCTTAGCTTTAAAGAGAGTTTTAAGGTACTTCCAACACAAATAGGGGCATATAAGTGCGGAAGATTAGAAGTGTTACTAGAAAGTAACCTATTAGGACAATAGACGTAGGATAGGAAAAAAAATATCAAACCATACAAAAGTACCCGTCAACCAACCACGAATACAAATTCATCGTGGGCTACTTTTCTGCTTTAGCAAAGAAGTTTGGTAATGTCGTTTCCCCTCTCAACCGACATCCCAGTGACCACCAACGCTCTCGACTCCACAAAGAAAGCGACTGTGAACTCATCTCGCTGAGACGACCTTTCTGTTTGCAAAACACTGCTCTTCCCTGTAAACTCCCAAACTCTTTGTTCCCTCAGTCTCTTGAATACAAATTTGGTCAAGAGGTTGTTGGGAAGGGGGCTAAGTGGGGTGTTGGGCCCGGGAGTGTATGAAGGGGAAGGGGTGTCATGTGTGTGTGGTATTGGGTATATAAGACAGAAAATATTGGGGAGGGGGGTCTTCGACAACTACATCTCGCAACAAAAAGAAAAAAAATAGGCGAATATTAACTCAGGAAAATGAAGCCATAAAGACTGACGTGTTGACATCAATGTTCATGTAATTATGTAACAGAGTACATGTAGTTCTCTTCTATTTATAGTTCAACCTTTGATTCCAAACCAGTCTCTGACCCAAACAGTCTCAGAACTGGCAATGAAGGGGCTAAAGAACCTCAAAACACTATGCCTTTAAGCGTTGTCGAAAGACCAGCATGCAGATCCACAATGGTTTTAATCAGGGTGAATTATATCAGCTTTCAGAACTGATGGAAACAAGAAGAATATTAATAAAACATACCGCACTCTACCTTTTGTGACAGAGGCGTCCCAGAGAGGAAAGGAAAAACATGCATATTTGGGGAAAAGATACACTTTATTAATTCGCTTGCAATAAATTTAGAAACTAATCTTTCTAGTACGTTGGTAGTTTAAACATTTCGGTATTATCTAATCAGGTTTGCTGTAAGCAGGATAAAGAGAAAGACCAGATTACGCAAAGGCAAGGTTGGTTTTAGTTACAGTTGTGAGTGAAACAGAGAATTGTAGAGAATAGAGGGAATGGAGGGGTCAGAGAAAAAAATAGCAGAGTGAGAGGGATAAACAGAAAATGTAAGTGCGGGCATACGTTTATGAGTGAATTTATGTGTGTGTGTGTGTTTGTTTGTTTTTGTAAAGTGTTTTACGGCGCTCGCAGCTGCATAAGGTCATATGAGCGCGCAGGACACACCTAATATCTTCAGTTGGTAGGAAATTTTGAATTTTGCCCGGGTGGCCGCCGAAGCCTACTCTTATCGATTTTAGACCACCAAGGGATCTTTAACGTGCCCAACTTGCACACGGGCCCTCCGAGATTTTTCGCCCTTGTCCGAGAAGGCTAGGTGTAGATCTTTCCTACCAGAAGATCAGGGGTGTGGCAGTAAGACAGCAGTAAGGAGGAGCCAAGGAGTAGCAGTAGAAAGGCTGCAGCAAGAGTCAGGATCCCAGAGGAGGGGGCAAAGGAGGTGAAGGGGTGGGGGCAGAAAGTGGAAATGAAAGAGACACAGACAACAGAACATTCCTTGAGAGCAGGAAAGGAGGTGAAAGGAGACAATTTTAGAGAAGAAAATTTTTCGGTCGCTACCCGGATTCGAACCCGGGACCTTTGAATGAAAGGCCAAGACCTTAGCCTCTAGGCCACGAGAGCCCCCGTTATGTGTGTATGTGTGTGTGTGTGTGTGTGTGTGTGTGTGTGTGTGTGTGTGTGTGTGTGTGTGTGTGTGTGTGTGTGTGTGGGGGAGGGGGGAGGTGTGTCCTTGTGTTTGCTCTTCTGTGAGTGTATGTGTGTGTGCTTATGTGCGTGTGTGTGGGTGTTTGTGAAAGAGAGAGAGAGAGAGAGAGAGAGAGAGAGAGAGAGAGGGAGGGAGAGGGAGAGAGAGAGAAGAGGGGGGGGGAGGCCGAGAAAGTGAGAAAGAGAAAGAGGGAAAAAAAGAAAGAGATGGGGATAAGGAAAGAGAGGGAGAGAGGTACAGAGAAAGAGGGAAAGAAAGAAAGAAAGAGAGAGAGAGAGAGAGAGAGAGAGAGAGAGAGAGAGAAAGAAAGAAAGAGAGAGAGAGAGAGAGAGAGAGAGAGAGAGAGAGAGAGAGAGAGAGAGAGAGAGAGAGTGAGTGAGAGAGAGATTTATGGGAGGGGGAGTAATGAAAACTAATCAAATTAATGGTACATGTATCACTCAGAAACAGTGAGTTGGATCAAAATCAAATTTCCCAGAACCAGTCTGTCCAGTTTTCTTCACATAAAGAGAATAATACACTTAGTCATAAACCTTCTTGTCCGTCACATATTTATTTGTTTCATAAACAATGAAACAAACAAAGACCCGGAAATCAACAAACACTGGTACTATTGAGAAGCATACAAAACGTAATAACCATTTCATCAAACACCATCCAAGAGCGTCCAATTAAGACAGAAACGTCGTTCAGTAAGTTTGAATTCATTTAGAGCTTTGGGAATATTGTACTTTGTTTAAATAGGTTGCAATAATAGGGGTGAAAAAAAAGTATAATCTTACTGCATTTACAAAACAAATATCTCGGCTTGTAAATAACGGAAAATCAATTCTTAACAATTCAGAAAAAGATAAACGTCATGTCGAATGGAAATGTAGTGTATAAAAGACTTGCTTCAAATAATCCACATTATTGAGTGTTACTACTTTTTCAGTATAACTTACGTTATGAATGTAGAAATCCTTGCATGTACTACACTTTCATCCACTACACATCATCGGCTGTACAGGCACCTTTAAGTAAGTCTAAAAACAATGTCAACATGTTCACATTAACAAAAAACCGTTTCGAGATTGTGTACATGTGGATCTACTTTTTACATTATAGAATTAGCATTTGGTTAAAAGGAAATCTACATTTCAGTTTAAGCGTGTAAATTTTATTAAGAGTTTGCAAGCAACATAATTTCTTCACGTTGACACTTCGGTATGATAATATCGTAGTTAACATGAGATTTTAAGTATTCAAACATGGGGAAATTACAAGGTTCACGTTTTCTTTAGTTAAAAGTGAGTGTGTCTCTTGTAGTTTCATTTAGTTGCCAGGATTATTCGTGCCACTGAAGAAGTGAGAGTCCAAAAATGGCTCTTGAATTTTTTTGAGTCTCCCATCATAATGCACAAAAACACAATCAAATTACAAAATGTAGAAATCCGAGGACTGCTCTGACTGTGGCCTTGTTATGGTGATGTCATTTCGCCGGAAGTGAAGTCTGGTTATGCCTGTATGAAGACAGATGAGTAAGAGTGGACTGAAAATAAGAGACGAGTAAAAACTGTTTTTTAGTCATTACTACTACTGTTGCTGCTTCTGCTGCTGCTACTACCACTACTATTAATTACCTTTACATTAATATTAATGGTTATATAATCTATTATCTATTTGTGGTGGCCGAATTTTGCTATTCAAAAGGCTTTTTAATGGCTGCATCGATCGACATGCGGTTTTCGCCAAAAGATTCTTTAAAATATTCTCCAGATCATGACGCCCTTCGTTTTTTTTTCAGTTTTGAGACAGTTTTGCTGCAAAAAGCTCAATTTCTTTATTTCGCCGATCGCTTTTGTAGGCCGACGCTTCTGTCTCTGTAATTTTAGAATAGGAGGTTAAAATTTCCGTTCACTAACCGTGCGCACTGTTTTGAGACCTTCTAATTTTTATTGCTCCTTTCCAGTAGAATGTAAATATCATAAGCCAATGACTTTCGGCAGACGTTAAAGCACTGATCATTCCTTTCATCTAAAGGGGGCCCAGCTAGTAATATCAAAGAGTCTACATAACAAGAGGGGCCACTTCTCTCTTTGAGCCAATTAAAAAAGTGTCCTCAAAATTCTGTTGCGCCCTCTTCGCAAATGCACACCCTTTGCGAACAGAGCTACCCTACTTGAGTTAAAAAAATTAAAGTGAAACTAGCAAGTTTTAAAATAAATTTTGAAAGAACGCTTTTTTAAAATGGTTACGCTGACAAGAAACCTCTTCCGGAGGAAAGGGTGATTGTTTTCTTCGTTTAATTTTGTTGAATGGGTACTAGATCTGATTTGACTTGCCTTGATGAGGGAACAAAATTTAGCAGACAACGGCCAAACGGCTGATCGGTTGGGAAGAGGAAGTAGTGAGAGTAATCTCCCCTGCTTTATTGGAATGTACAAAACAATCCACAGCTAATTACCGAAACGTAACAATAACATGAATGATCGTAAGGTCACAAGTCCAACACCCCCACTTGATCGAAAACGATTCATTCACTCATTCATCAACCATAAATATTGAAAAATGTAGTAAACGTAGATCAATATACTAAGCATTGTCTACTAAGCATATTTTAAGAAATGTAATGTTTACGATACCGGTACACAAAAAAATGTGAAAGAAATTTGAATACAGTGTAAGTAGTACTCAAATACAACAGCCTTCAATGTAACCACATTAATGCATTAATTTCAATTTCAGCACATCTGTTTTCACATCTCCATTCACAACACCTGGTCTCGTAATAATTTACTTTCCAAAAACGATATCTCTGAACTTGTTCAGCTTAACTTTGGTAGCAGGCTTCGTCATCAAATCTGCTAACATTTCACCAGTTGGACAGTATTCGAGTTCGAATCCCTTCTTGTTCAGTTCGGAACGTATAAAATGGTACCGAACATCAATGTATTTTGATCTTCGATGGTTCACAGGGTTGTTGGCTGGGGCAATTGCGCCCTGGTTGTCCTCAAAGACCACAGGCAAATTATCTCCAAGACTAATTCCAATATCATAAAGAAACTGACAGAGGTACAAAACCTCCTACTCTGCGGCTGTGAGAGCAATATATTCAGCCTCGCAGGTTGACAGAGCCACGACTGGCTGTTTCCTTGATTTACATGAAATCAGAGGACCTTCTTGTGTCAAACCAAAACAGTAACCTGATGTACTGCGTCTATCTTCAACACTGGACGCCCAATCAGAGTCACTATACCCAATGAGCTTCAGGCCTTTTTTACTCTTTCTGAAGCCCATCTCATAGTGTGCAGTTCCCTTCAGATACATCAACACGTGTTTCAGTGCTATCCAGTGACACTGGAGGGGGTTCAACAAGAAATGAGAAAGTCTGCTAACAACCCAGAAAATATCAGGTCGTCGAGTTCACAACATCAGGTAAATTAGACTTCCAACAATCTCTCGATACCTATGGGAATCAACAAGTTCACTTTCATTCCATTCTAAGTTCTGTTCACATGGAGACATCTCAAATCTTTCAAGCAACCTCTCAGTGTACACATTTTGGTTCATCTTAACAAAGCCATGTCCTTGTTCAACGTTAATGCCCAGAAAGTATGACAGTTTTCCCATGTCCTTCATCTTAAATGTATCTTTGAACAACTGCTTTGTTGGACATAAAAGACTGTCATTGTTTGAACCAACAATCAAGTCATCCACCCAAAAAAGAATCACAACCATACCTTTCTCACCATGTTTGGTATAAACACAGTTTTCACAAGGAGACTCTACAAAGTCATTCTGTTCTAAAAACGTGTGCAACATTTGGTTCCAATTCCTGCCAGACTGTTTCAACCCATACAAAGATTTGTTCAACTTAGTACACCATTTTCTGTCCACTTTCATTTTTTACTTCAAAGCCTTCTGGGTGTTCCACATAGATTTCACAATCTATTGGAGCGTTTAAGTATGCTGTCTTCACATCCATCTGATGCAAAGTTAAATCATACTGTGCAGCGATCTGCATGAGAACACGCACTGAAGTCAAATTTGCTGTAGGTGCAAAGGTTTCATGATAATCTGGTCCTTCTCTTTGGCTATATCCCTTTACAACGACATATCTAGCCTTGTAGGACTTGGAACCATTTGCACTTTCTTTGACTGTATACACCCCCCCCCCCCCCAGTGTGTGTCTACCCTCAGGGAGAGTGGTCAGAGTGTAAGTACCATTTTCTTTCAGGGAGTTGAATTCTTCATGCATTGCTTCTTTCCAAACCTCTGATTCAGATGAATCAGTAGCTTCTTTAAATGTTTGAGAAAAAGAAGAACATTTGTAGCAAAAATCAACATTCAAAATGACATTATCTTCATCAAATTCTGTGTCATAGTCAGACAGTTAAGAAGGAGGTTTGCTCTCTCTTCTGGGATATCTCCCATTTTGTTCAACAAAGGATGGTACATTTTCTGGTTGTTTACATTCCGACTTCTCTTCGGGAACATTTTCAACAATAGGAATAGGACGTTTTACAAAAACATCATCATCTGAAAAATCAATGGTCTGAGTTTCCCTTTCAACACAAACAAAAGCTTTCTTTAGGACAAAGTGTACCACTCTACATCTTATCAATTTCCCAGTATCAGAAAAATATAGCAAGTATGCTGGACTGCACCTCTCATATCCAACAAAAACTCCCTTTTTGCATCTCTCGTCTAGTTTTTCCTTCTGCTGAGAGTATACATAACAGTCGAAGCTAAATACTCGCATGTTCGAAATATTTGGTCTGCTCCCTGTCAGTCCTTGTACAGGTGTTTGTTTCACCCTTGCATTGAAACATCTGTTTCGATTGTACACTGCTGTGTGCACTGCATATGGCCACAACGCTTTTGGCAGCTCACATTCAAGGAGCATGCTTCTCCCCATTTCAAAAATGGTATGCCACTGCCCTTCAGCTGTCCCATTTTGATGGGGCGAGTAAGGAGCAGACATTTCTTGCTTAATCTGATTCTTCCTTAGGAGTGCCTTAAACTCTCCTGAAGTGAATCCCGTCCCATTGTCTGATCTTATTTTCTTTACCTTCCCATAAGGGGCTGAATCTGCAAGAAACCTTTCTGTTGCCCCCACAGTCTCACTTTTACTTTTCAAAAAGTACACAAACATGGCACCTGAAAAATCATCTGTAAATGCAATTACATATTCAAAGCCTTCACGTGAAGTAGGAGTAATTGGACCTGTAAAATCAGTGTGAACCAACTCCAAAGGAGAAGTGGCACGTTCACGTGGATTCTTACTTCTCTCATTCGTCCTTTTTCCCTTCATACACACCTCACATTCTTTCTTCTTTGCCTTCCCACTTATCTTCATGCCATCAACAACACTTTCAAGCCTCAAAACATCATCAAAATTGCAGTGACCAAGTGTTTCATGCCAACCCGTAATATCCTGAGTATAATTCATTTTGTCAACAGTATCATCTGAACTGTTTGTATTGAGATAATATAATTTCCCCCACTTTTCAATTGGAAAGCTTACAACACCATCTGTGACAGGAAGCTCTGCTGTATCTGAGTGGAATGAAACACTTGCACCATTGTCAGTAGCGGTCTGAACCGAAAAAAAATATTCTGAGGAAAAGTTGGTACATACAGAGCATTTTACAGAGTAACATCTACAGGGTTACCATCAGAATCTTTGAATTTCATACTCGCATTTCTCAGCAATGTTCGTTTTCACTTTGAATGCGAATGTATGTTCTTGGTCATCTGTGCGTCGTGCATCCGCAGCCTCATTAACTGTGTCTGTTGTGTTCTTCCTCTGAAATCTGCACGTGTTATCAGAGTGATTATTCTTTCTGCATAGTTTGTACCACAGTTTCTTTTGCCTGCAATTCTTTGAGAAGTGTCCGGGTTGTCCACATATGAAACATGTGGGTGGACTCTTGTTGTCACCCGTAGCAGCTCTAACACTGCCGATACCTTGCCTGGCTGCTCGTTGCGCACTCTTCAGAAGAGAATCACCAGACTGGACCCTTGATCTTTCAGTTTCTTCGAAACTCCTCAAGGCGATCTTGAATTCTGTTATCTGTTCTATCTTTTCACTGTGCGTGATCACAGCGACAAACGATTGAAAGGCGTCAGGTAGACCTTTTAAGATCATAGCTATAAGAGGGCTATCAGAGAGAGTCTCACCAGCATTTTTCAGCGCTGCTTCTGCTGTTTCGGCTCTGATGATATAGTCTGTCACACTTTCTTAATCATGTTTCTTCACGAGTGAAGTCAGTTCTGTGTAGAGACTAATGATTCTTGGAGTGCTTGAGCCTGCGTAGTGTTGACGTAAAATCTTGAGAGCTGCTCTTCCATCATCTACAGCATCTCGCATAACCAAAGATAAACTCTTGTCATCTAAAAACTGGATAAGTTTAGCATATGCTTCTTCATTTTTTACAAGGTCAAATTCTTCATCATCCCCTGCCAATACGACATCTTTCAGTTTCTGTAGTCTCATGTACCCTAGAAACTTCACCTCCCATTGTTCACATTAATTTTATTCTCATCCCCATCGACTAAAAGTCATCTGTACCGTGAACTGGGTCCATAACCTGTTGAATGGGTACTAGATCTGATTTGACTTGCCATGATGAGGGAACAAAATTTAGCAGACAACGGCCAAACGGCTGATCGGTTGGGAAGAGGAAGTAGTGAGAGCAATCTCCCCTGCTTTATTGGCATTTACAAAACAATCCACAGCTAATTACCGAAAAGTAGCAATAACATGAATGATCGTAAGGTCACAAGTTCAACAAATTTGACTTTAGATGAACTGCGAGAGGTCATTGAAATAAAAAAAACCCCTAAAACTCAACACTGAATGAACCCGAACTGCTGATGAACAGCAGTTGATCCGCGCACGCTTGGAGGTGCTATTCCTATTCTTCTTCTGGAAAAACGAAAGACAACTTCAAAACAGACTGCAGTGCCATCTGAATCAAAGATAGTACATAACAAGATGGGCCACTCAGCCAAAAAAAGTGTCTGCCGGAAGTTCGCTCTTTGATTCAGATGGCGCTGCAGTCTGTTTTGAAGCTCTCTTTCGTTTTTCCAGAAGAAGAATAGGAATACCGCCTCACATGTGGGTTTATTTTTCGGGTTTAAAAAAATTAACAGTTAGCTTCGTTTCACGGGATTTCTTCCTTGTGGCACCACACGGCTTAGATTTGACTTTTTACTGCTTACCTTTATACACTTCTTATACTTTTAGCCTCATTGTTCTCCATTTCAAGCATATTTACATTTGAAATTGCTATGTGGTATTTGAATTTGCTATGTGTTACATTTGAGTTTTCTATGTTTACATTTGAACTTGTTATTGTTGTATTATAACTTTTTATGACGTCATTTGTATATTTGGAATTTTTAGGTGTAATTTGTTTTTTCTATACGGCATTCGAATTTGTTATGTGTATAATTGAACTGAAAAAACCCCCTATATTATTATTATTATTATTATTATTATTATTATTATTATTATTATTATTATTATTATTATTATTATTATTATTGTTATAGTATAACTACTACTATTATTAATTTTATTATTAAATTCTATTGTTATTCTTATTCTTTTTGTTTTCAGTATTATTAGTACTATTATTACTATCATCATCATTAGTATGTCTACCTGTTAGCAGACCACGTTGGCGGGCATGTCACACAACTGTGTGTTCTTGTTAAAGGACAGACCCGCGCCACAGTCGCCCTGGCTGCTCTCACCACCCAGGGTACAGCGCACGTACAGCTGGCAGTTCCCGCAGTCGCCATAGTCTCCAGCAGGGATGCCCTGAAGGAAGATGACAAGAAATACATGTATTTCACATTTTGATTTCTGTCTTTGTTGTTTGGTTTAATTTGAAATTCAGTGCTTTCCAGGAAGAAGAGTTTGTTTCAGAATACTACCGTGGTGGGGTAATATTCAGGCGCCATTCGTCCATAGAGCACTGTCGTGCAGTGCCGCCCAAAATGTTCTAATGTTCTATTACGTAAAGCACCCACAATAAAAAAAATAAAAGAAGCCAGAAACAAACTCTAACAAAATATTACGTCAAGGATTATGACCTTGATGTCCTCGTCTGTTCCCCCTGCCTTGTTGTTGACACTTCTCAGGTAGGTGAAGGATTCAACATCCGCCAATGGTGCCCCCTACAGTGTGATAAGAACGTGGGCTGCCTTCATTTGAAGAACTATAATAAGGAATCCAACAATACGGGGGAAGGTCCTGAGGCGATCTGTCTTCTGTTGCATCTGGACTCGACTGTGAGAAAGAAGTGCCAAGTCGTCGGCAAAGTTCAAGTCTTCGAACTGACTGGAAAGGGTCTACTGAATGCCACCGCGTTGTCCCGATGTTATCTGTCTCGTTTTCCAATCCACTTTCAATAAAAAGAGAAAAGGCGATAGCAGGCATCCTTGTCTCACTCCTGTTTTCAATTCAAACGATTCTGTCCGCTGCCCTTCAAGTAAGATACTGCAGCTCATCCCCTCATACATCTTCTTGATCAACGTCACGAACTTGTCTGGTATTCCATAGAACTTAACAAAGTTAACGTACAGGGAAGGGTTCCACTCTATGGACTGCTCCACTATTATCCTCAAAGTTGCAATCTGATCTGTACATGATCTCTTTTTACGAAATCTTGCCTGCCCCTCTCTTAGTTTTACATCCACGGCTTCCTTCGGTCTTTCCAGTATGGTACGACTTAAAATCGTCACATGAATGGACAGGAGCATGATTCCTCTGTAATTTTTACTCTTGTACAGGTCTCCGTTCTTGGGTAGTTTCACAACGATCCCTCTCTCCAATCCCGTGGAATTTCTTCGCCGTCCATACCTTGCCAATAGTTCCAAGACGAATCCCAGCCGCTGTATCGATATCCGCCTTGAGAACTTCTGGGGGGATTCCATCTGGGCTGGCCGCCTTGCCTGCTGTCTTGTGTCTTAATGGCCAGCTTGATATCCTCTAAACTAGGCTTTTTTTTACACGCACCTCCAGATCAATCTCTGCTGGTGAAATGTCAAACTGTTTTTCTGGCCTTGGTCTGTTTTGTAGATCTTTGAAATACTCCTTCCAGCGTTGTTTCTGTTCGTCTGGATTTGTGAGAAGCGTTCTCTCTTTATCCTTAACTGGCACATCTGCGGTTTTGTATCTGCTTGCAAGTTTCTTGGTGGTTTCATACAGTCCTCTTATGTTTCCAGCCCCTGCCTCTTCCTCGCGCGCCAGGTCATCTACATAGTTTCTTTTGTCTTTCCATATGTTAACTTTTACACCCTTCATTGCTTTGGTGCATTCTTCTTGGCCTTTGCTTTGGCTGCTCTTGTCTTGTTCCTGTTCACCTGATCCTTTTTCTTTTTCCTGTCCTCTATCTTCCCCAGAGTGGTGACAGATATAAAACGTCTTGTGCTCACGTTTCCTTTTCCCCAGTACCTCTTGACACACAGTGGTCCAGCCTTTTTATTGCCTCTCATGTTTCTCCCACGCTGCTATCCTCGACTGGTGTTTCCAACACATGAAACCTCTTTTGAACTTCTACCTTAAACTCCTCTCTTTACGATGGCTCTCTCAGAAATTCCACGTTTTACCGACACCTATGATTGACAATCCCCCTTCTTTGCTTTAGGTTTAGTCGGATTGTTGAAATGAGCAGATGATGGTCAGAAGCTACGTCTGCACTCCTGTAAACTCTAACATCCCTTATTTATCTCCTGAATTTCTTGTTGACTCATAATATGTGGTCAATCTGGTTTTCAGTTTGTTGGTCTGGAGACACCCATGCTGCTTTGTGTATCTGCTTATGTGGGAAAACAGTTCCTCCTATCATGAGCCCATGTGTTGCACATATTTCCAAAAATAGTTCTCCATTCACGTTTCTGACTCCAGGTCCGTGTTTCCCCATGATTTCCTCAAAGTCTACATTGCCACTGCCACCCTTAGCGTTGAAGTCTCCCATTACAATCAAGATATCTTTCCTTCTAACCTGATCAATAGTATTTTGTAAAGTCTCTTTCACTTCCTGGTTCTTATCATTGGTAGGGGCATATCCCTGGATTACATGAAGGTTGATGTCTTTCTTCTGTGAACGGAATTCGGCTGATATTAGTCACTGACCCTCTGCTTTCCATCCTATAAAAGCCCGCTTGGCCTGTGTCGATAACAGAATACCTACTCCTTCTGTATGTGGCGAGTTTTCCTCAGATGTCCAGAGCAGAGAATATTTACCTTGAAGAAAGATGGCACTCTCCTGTTTATTTTGTCTCACAAAGACCCAATATGTCCAGTTGGTAGGCCTCCATCTCTCTTGCAACCTGCAATGCCTTCCCTGCCTCGTACATTGTACGAACATTCAAGATGCCAAGTCTGGTGGTTCTTCTGGTCGACAGGAGGTTTCTCGGAATTGCGGCTTCCTTTCGGCTTTCACCACCCTGCGTCATTCTACACTCCATTTTCTCTATCTTCCAGAACTGGCGGTCGTGTTTTTTTGTAGTTTTTTTTGCTGTTTATGTTTTTGTAGCTGTTTTTTTTTTTTTACATCTTTCTCTCTCGCAATTTCTTTTTTTTCTGTTTTTTACTTTCGTCTTGCTCCTATTTCTCCATAGTGCAGAAATGCTAAAGAGCTTCCTACTAAAGGTCAACCGATGCATAAATAAAAGCAGTACAAATTCGTTTTAAAAATCAACTAAATGAACTAAACTCCTGTTAAAAAAATTATATTATACTCACGTTGTCTTGGCAGACGGAAGAACTGAAGGTTAAACAAATAATCGCCTCGCTGGTCTCTGAGCTCTGGGGGAAAAGGACAACTCGAACAAATCAGTGTTCACTCCAACTCCAAGAACTATGACCAGTAGACATAGCCTACTGTATCTATTTGTCAAGTTATAATATTATTATTGACTGGCATGCATCTAAGCGAAACAAAATCTGTTAAAATAAATAATAAAGCCTATTTTTCCTTTACATGTTTTTTGTGTGTTTGTTTGTTTGCTTTGATTAAATTGGGTTTCACCAACACCAATAATTGATTTCTTCTGCAAATTTACCTCCACTTCTTTCGGCTTTATTATTATCAGTGTGGTCATAACTTATTATGCTCTTTTGAGAACTTTACACTTTAATTGCCATTTATTCATATACCGAATGTCAGAAGTAAAGGAACCCGTATTTATAGAGCGTTCTGTTGCTGCCTTGTGGCATTGGTAGCCTAGTGCTTACACCTCGGACTCGCAATCGTGAGGTCGTGGGTTCAAATCCTGTCTGGGACCTTCTGTTGTATCCTTAGGAAAGGCACTTCACAGGAATTTATCTCACTTCACCCAAATGGAAATGGGTGCCCAACTATATATATAGACAGTGATAGATCTGGGTAGTTTGATAGTGTTTGAGCGCGTAAAAACCGCAGCATGCACTTTATGCCACTAGGGAAGCCGAGAATGTTTCTGGGTGTGGTAGGGGTCTGCTGGGATAATAATACGTGTACGTGTAAAGCGCATACATCATTATGGAGAGCGTGGATATTCGCTTTATAAATGTTGTTGTTGTTATTATTATTATACAATAGTAATGATGATAATGATGATGATGATGATGATGATAATAATAATAATAATAATAATAATAATAATAATAATAATAACAATAATAATAATAATAATAATAATAATAATAATAATAATAATAATAATAATAATAATAATAATAATAATAATAATAATAATAATAATAGTAATAACAATAATAATAATAATAATAATAATAATAATAATAATAATAATAATAATAATAATAATAATAATAATAATAACACAAAAAGCAAACAGCCCCCCCCCCAAAAAAATACAAAGTAAAAACAAAACAAAACAAAAACAGAAAAAAACCCAAAAACAAAAACAAACTATTTTCCCTCACCTGTGATGTCGTTGACTGTCTGGACGTTTCACTGATCACAGAAGTAGATGACGCCATTGCGCTCTGCTCGGACTGCTCTGACGTTACAGAGGTAGCAGAGGTCGCCGAGGAAGCGGAAGTTGTTCTGCGAAGGAATGCCATCAAGTAACTCTTTTTTAAAAAGGAAAACAGAAAAGTGGGTGGTTGGCGGGTGCTCAGTATATTCTTATTCTTTACTATCAAATATACATCGTCCTTATCCTCTCTCCTTTTTTTTCCGGACACTTCCAATCTTCCTATTTGACCTTATTGTGTCGCAATATCGTAAAATTTACAAAAACTAAACCAAACGTTAAAGAAAAAACGTGGAAGGGACGTATTCATACAACAAAGTGAAACAATTAATCAAGGACATTTGTTGGTATCAGAGCACACAACAGCCGCTTTTATGATCTAAGGCGAAGAAAAATGAGAAAAATGAAAGTAATTTATTGCTGAAAAAAGCAAGACCGACAGAAACAAACGAACTGTAAAGAGGGAGAACCTATCAGTAACGGTTTGGATAAAAAGACTTGAGATGGAGGGCTGATACATGGCCATGTACACTGATAGATAGATATATAGGTAGGTAGGTAGGTGGATAGACAGACAGACAGATAGATAGATAGATAGATAGATAGATAGATAGATAGATAGATAGATAGATAGACAGATTTCCATCCGTGGATGAGCATTATAATCATCCCCACGCTTAAAGAACTCAATTTGTAAAAAAGGACACCCTAACAGTTATCAGACCAGCCTCTATTGTGTAGCAGTTAGGTCGCACACAGCAGACCTGAGTCTGATTCCCGATCCGGAAGAAGATTTTATCGAATTTCTCGGTCTTTCTGCTTGGAAGTTGTATCCCTCTTAGTTCTGGTTTGCCCTAACAAGTAACAGGCAGGGTCAAACGCCCACCTCCTATAGTATCTAAGTTGTGTTAATGGCCTGTAAAAATACCTACATTGAAAGAAGAAAAATACAATTAATTATCCACACTCACGAACAAGTCACGTCGGAATCCATAGCACACTGGGATGTGGTGGAATCGAACAGCAGCATGGACGAGCAAGACCTGAGCTCTCCTGCTGCTCCACCACCCGGGCAGTCGTAGAAATTTTTGCAGTTGTCGCAGTCAGGGTACCTGAGAACACAGACGTTAGACAACAGGAATACTCAAGTTCATTAGATCTAATTAAGGAACTTTTGAAACATTTTTTTCATGACTACGCTATTTGAGGAATATCTTATTAAGAAAACCCACCAATACATTAAATAATAATATACAATTTTAATTAATAATACACTTTATGTAGAGAAATGACTAATGTTCTGGCCTATCGACCTCGGTGTAGAGTTCCAAAGCTTGGGTGTCCTTGAAAACTGTAAATTCACATTTTTGTGCCTTTGATAAATGTACTTCAACAACATCTAGACAAAAATCTGTTTATAATTGGCCACAGAAGGGATTGAGCCAAAAGAAGGAACTCAAAACAATAATATTGCCAAATAAGCAGAAAAATGCCGGCTACTTCGATTTTATTATAATGAACAGCTCCTGATTTTACCACGACGCCTCGCATTTTATAACACGTGTACTTCTAAGCTACAAATGAGTGTGATATAAAAAAAAAATTAATGTAATGCTCATTGAGCTTTTAAAAAATTTTTAATGGAAATGCGCAGCATATTATTATCTGCTATTTATTATTATTATTATTATTATTATTATTATTATTATTATTATTATTATTATTATTATTATTATTATTATTATTATTATTATTATTATCATTATTATTATTATTAATATTATTATTGTTATAATTATATTATTATTATTATTATTATTATTATTATTATTATTATTATTATTATTAATATTATTATTATTATTATAATAAAAAGAAAAATACACCATCCTTCCCCTCCGCACTGTTATACTTTCAACCCTCATATTGTATTAAGCCTCTGAGTATGAAAATGAAGGGAGGGTAGTGTTAGTTTGACAATACTTAAAAATCTTACAAAGTATAATTTCAAGTACAACGATGTATCGATGGATCAATGGATAAATAGATGGATTGGTGGATGGACAGATGGATGGATGGGTGGATGGACGGATGGATGGAAGAAAGGATGAAAGACTGAGTGGATAGTTAGATGCATAGTTGGTGGGAATAATAAATAGATGAATGGATTGTTGGATGTGTTCTTTTACAAACATCCGTTTTTTTCGGAAAATTGAGCCTTCATCAATTTGTTGTATTTGGGATAGTCTCATGACTCACCGGCCGAATGGGAACGCGTCACAACCAGTGAGACAAAAGACAAAACTGCTAGTAGCCGACGTAAGCGTTGTCTCTGAGGTCATACTGGTCATACTGATCGGGCTCATGTCGCTCGTGGCTGAAGACTCGGAACTTGGCGATGACGCAGATGTGGTTCTGAGGGCAGGGAAGACGAGCATGATGGAATTGTTTGGCGTTTAACGGAGTTTGCACTATAACGTTTATTCAAAAAGCACTCACATGCTAACAAAGATACACTTATACACAGACACACACAAAAATGCACACACACAAACCCATATACACACATACACACAAATACAAGTACAAAACTCATCAAAACTGAACTGAAGCTTACATATAAAAGGGGATAAGATGAAATAACAACAGAAAATAGGTAGAATGGTGGAATATCATATAAAAATCAGAAAACAAAACATAAACATACACACACACACACAAGCACACGCACAAGCACACACACACACACACACACACACACACACACACACACACACACACATACATAAACACACACACACACACACACACACACACACACACACACTTAATATGAAAAAGTGCACTTCATCCCCACCATACCACGCCCTAGTCCCAAAACACGAACACGTACGCTTAACATATAAGTTCTACCCAAACTTTCTCCAAAATCCCATACTAAACATACTCGCAAAGACTTTTGTCCACACACGCACAAATTACATTTTCTCCAAATCACCCCGATGTTTGATTTAAAAATATCTCGTGAGTACTCACATTAGCACACTCGTCTGAGCTGTCTTGACTTTTAGGATTTCGCATGCATGGATAGATGGATGGACGGATGGATGGACGGATGGATGGAAGGATGGATGGATGGATGGATGGACATTGTTCAAACATAGACACTGTTTTATTCCCAAGATGGTGCTCACGTAGATAGGAACAAGACATTGAAACCTGGCTTGGAACCAAAAACAACCCAGGCCGGCAGGATGAGATTGGCAACCAAGAGACAAAGTGTTTTTCACAGGAAGGCCCAAGAAGGGGCATCCAAGTGTTGAAAAATCTTCAAAGAAGAAGCCTTCATTCGTTGTAAAAAAATAAAGCATCATAGAACTTACTTGCTAAAGGGACCGCCTTTCCCTTCCTTCCCAACCACTGCCACGTTCCCCAACCTTCCGCCATACCCAGAACACACACTCACACACAGACACACAGACACACACACACACACACACACACACACACACACACACACACACACACACACACACACACACATGTATATCAGCGCGTGCGGCCGTGCATACATATACATATTATGCACACAAAAACACAGACACAAAATATACAAACGCAAACACAAACACAAACAAGCATACACGCGCGTAACGCGTGTCAGTCCCAACCCAGCCTTAACACATGAACAGAGGGATGCTCTAGTGGCTATGGCTCTGGCCACACTGCAGGCGAGGCGAAGAGGCGCGGGCGAAATGATGAAATTTAATACAAAGGCAAAGAGGTGACTGACCACACCAAGAGCGGAATAGCTTGAAAGAATTAATTAACTCATGTCAGCACGCACGTAACTTGTTGTTCTTAAAGAGTCAATATAAGAAATAGATAAAAATCAAAGAGGAAGGTGGAGAGAGAGGGAGAGAAAGAAAGAGAGGGAGAAGAGGGGTAGAGAGAGAGAGAGGGAGAGGGAGAGCGAGAGGGAGAGGGAGAGGGAGAGAGAGATAGATAGAGAGAGAGAGAGAGCGAGAGAGAGAGAGAGAGAGAAAGGAGGGGAGGTGCTTTTTGAATGTAAGTGTTTTTTACACTCCCATTAAAACAATTTAGATTATTCAGAAGGCGGGCTTCCGACCCTATCTACCAGGGCCAACCCAGGCGCCTGATAAGAGGTGGAAAGAAATAGAGAAAGAAAGAGAGAAAGAAAGAGAGAGTGAGAGAAAGAGAGAGAAGGAGACAGAAAGAGAGAGAGAGAGAGAGAGAGAGAGAGAGAGAGAGAGAGAGAGAGAGAGAGAGAGAGAGAGAGAGAGAGAGAGAGAGAGAGAGAAGACCTTAGAGAAGAGAAGAGAAGAGAAGAGAAGAGAAGAGAGAGAGAACGAAATACAGAGAGAGGGAGTGAAAAAGAAATAAAGAAAGAAGGAAAGAAAGAAAGGAAGAAAGAAAAAAAACAAAGAAAGAAAGAAAGAAAGAAAAAGAGAGAGAGAGAGAGAGAGAGAGAGAGAGAGAGAGAGAGAGAGAGAGAGACAGAAAGAAAGACCTATTAATGCCAAAAGATTCACAAGCGGATAATTTTATCACCAGTGTCCTAACTTAAAGGGAGACAAAGAGCGCTTTCAAGTAGGGTGTTTCACGCTCGCATGGCGAGTGGGGATTTCCGCTAAAAACCCGGTTTTTTCTCTTTCTCGGCTCATAACTTTATTAGTTCTTAGCCTAGCATCATAAAACCAACATGAAACGAGAGGTCTATATGTGCTTTTTGTTGCCATGTTAGTTTCAATGGGGGGAGAAATGTGTAACATTATCGATTTTTGAGTTAAAACTACAAGTACAAGATTCGTTACGCGTTCTGCCGCAAAGCGTGGCACGCAAATTTTGACAAATTTAGAGTGCAGCGTGTTTCGGGCCGTTTATTCGAGCTGAAATTTCGTTGGCTAATCGTTGTAGGTGACCTTAGAAATCACGTGATTCTGTAGTAGAATTGGACGCTGAAGGGTTTGCAACCCACCCGGAGTGTGTACGACGCTTGTGTAAAAAGTTATAGTAAAATATATATTTTAGCTTCAAAATTCTTTTTCATTAATAATAGAAAACTCTCCTGGGGGACGTTATATTTTCATTTCATTTTCATTTAGCTTTTTAGAAATGTCATTTTTGTTAAAAATGATTAAAGTTTTGCAGAAGAAAATCGAACTTTACTACCCTACCCTAGTTCACTTCGAAAGGTAAAAAAAAAATCACCCGCAGAGCCAGGAGTCAGGGGCAAGTAACTCTGGATTTTTAATGTAACTGATGTAAACAAACAACTGTCATCAAAGGTATGACTAGTTTAGGTAGTACAAGGGTGACCAAAAGTATTATTAACGGCCAAAGATACTTTTTTATATATTTGAATACTGAATATAAGAAAGTTGAAACTAAAATGAAATTTTAAAAGTCAAAGGAAATTGAATAATGTGCTGGGATTTGGTCTTCCTCCAATGTGATAAAAGAGTATAATCGTATCAATCCAAGAAGGAAAAAGTTGATTGAAGATAGCGTAGGTCAAGTACTAGAAAATCTTGATCGATGGGCGGTTGGGGGGGGGGGCGGTCAGGTCAAAATGCGTTTTCCCAGACTCTGTGTGCATTACGCTGGCATCTGCGTTTGTCGCGGCCGCGACTCGCGAATCGTATTTTTTGGTCCGCGAATCGCGGCCGCGATTTTTGCATAAGTTTTCAAAAAAAGACAAAAACAACAAAGCTACTTCATAACATACTAGACATGTATTTTGGTAAGTTTTAAGATGTCCATGTATATCTATTTTCATGCGGATGATATAAGTACATTACATTACCTACTGTTTATATTGCTGTCTGTCTTTTATTTTCCCCTCTTTGTTGTGTTTTAATTTGTTGGTGAGTTAATTTTTCTAAAAATTGTTCTGATGATTCGTTTTTCTTTTTTTGCGTTTTTACAACGTAATGTCTTTTAATTTAATGCTGTTCCCACCCTTTAAAAAATATAAATGTGTTATGTTAGAGCGTGTCTCCTCCAAAACCGAATACTGACACTGGCACACCCCAATCGTGTGAGATTCCATAATATAATTTACATGTGGTATCCTGTAAGCCTACTTTTTTCTTGAATTATACACGTTTAAGGTTAAAACAGCCAATCTTCAGATAGGTGGACACGCGCCTTAATTAGTTAATTTTTGTGCTTATTTATACGTGCTGTTCTAATTTTGATTTCATTCTATTGTGAAACCTTTATTTTCAACGTTTGTACCCTCTTGGTGACTACAAATGATGTTCTGGATGATCAAAACAGAGCACAAGAAATTTTGGTGCTATAGATTGTTACCTCTATCAACATATTGCTATATTACGTCGTTACAGAGAGTTGAAAGCTTGAAAATTAATGGCAACTTTTTTGGCAACTTTTTTGGCAACTTTTTTGGCAACTTTTTTGGCAACTTTGCCATTTTTTGTGGCAACTTTTGGACCAAAAAATGGCAACAAACACAGATGCTAGATCACGCAGTAGTCATTTGGTGCAGAGTTAAAAATAAATTGAAAAATCTTGATGATAAGTTCACTTGGCAGCCAGGCAAGGTGAAATAATAATTAGTATTGAACTCCTCAGAAGAAGGATATTATTATGATTGTTGCTCCTGCCAAGTTCAGTGGCTCAGAAGCCCATGTTACTTTGAACTTCAGTTGTGAAATGAAAAAAAAGGAATCTTGTTGTTGACTGAGAATATTGCTGGACTGGTAATTGGTAATATGGCATGGTATCGTAGGGAGTTTACTTATTATGTACTTTGCCTATCTTTAGCAGCCTCTGTTACCTTTTATACATATGGTGTAGAGGCGAGAAGCAAACATATTTCTCTTAATTGTTATGTATGCTTATATTGTTTTTGTTCAATGTTTCTCCTTCTGTTCCAGTAGTTGAAAACATCTCTATGTTGTTGATTTATTATTGTTATTATTCTGCCTTTCCTGCCCTGCTTCTTCGTGTGTGTGTTTTTTAAGCTAATTAAAGGTAGGAGTTTTACACCCCCTTCCTGTCTGTTCGGGCCAACCTGGGCTGAGAGAGATACTACATCACTGTAGAAAGACAAAAATACTATACTGTTCCAAAAAAAAAAAAAAAAAAAAAAAAGAAAAGAAACGCATAACCAAATTGACCACCGTGTATAATCGTACAGCACTGAATAACTGTTGATATAAATGAAGGAAAGAAAATACGTTTTGAAATTTTAGTCATTGTTGTTTGTTGATTATCAATAAAATTGAATTGATTTTGAACAATCAATTGGATGCTCCAATCTGAGCGTCCAAAGGCGGCCATTCATACTGGGTGTGGCCTCCTGCTGACTGGAGTACCGCTTGGCATCATCTGGGCATGGAGGTGATGAAACGACGAATGTTGGTGAGTGGTATTGCCCTCCACTCTTCATCCAAGTCGGCAAACAGTTCATCAGGAGTGGCAGGGGTGACAACTCTGTTCCGGAGACATCTGTCCAAAGCATCCTTAATGTGTTCTATAGCGTTCATATTCGGTGAATTTGAAGGCCATGGGAATGTCTGGACATTGTTTCTAGCCAGAAAGTCCCCAGTTACTCTGGCAGTATGCGGTATGGCATTGTCCTGTGGAAGATTGCCCCTGGTTGTTGAACCAATGGAAGGGCATGTGGTAGGAGAACGTTGTTGATGTAGGCCTGGGCTGCCAGATTACCTTGTACTCTCACCAGGCTGCTCCTGAGAGTGTAGTTGATTGCTCCCCACACCATCACACTGCCACCACCATGCGATAACGCCAGGGAGATGCATCCAGTTGCGAACCTCCCATTTCGATGTCGGTAAACTCGACGTCGTCTGTCGTGTCTAAAGATGAGAAAATTGGATTCATCACTGAACCATACGTGCCACCAGTTCTGTAGCTTCCAGTTGACGTGCTGAGTGGCCCATTGTCGTCGCTGTTGGTGATGCCGGTCCGTCAACAATGTTCTTAAAACAGGTCGATATGCACGGAGCCCTCTTTCTCGGAGTCGGTTGCTTACTGTCTAATCGGAAATTCTGATGACATTCCGAAGCACTTGGACGGTTGAAAAGGCAGGCACAAAACGATCCCGCAGGTGATGAAGCTGAATAAAGCGATCCTGGGCTCGAGTTGTTGCCCTTGGCCGTCCACTTCTCGGTTAATCGGCAGTTGAGTTGGACTGTTGAAACCTTGCAAAAAGTCGGCTGATGGTAGACTGTGACACGTTAAAATGTGGGGCAACATCTCCGGCTTGCAAGCGTCCAATAGCCTGGTTTCGCTCTTCTATCGTTAGTCGTGGCATGGCGTATCGCTGAACTGACAAACCATTTTTAGGCCATTATAGTCACCCAGTGAATGAACTCATACGCCAAATTTCGTTCGACTACTCACAAAATTTGACAAGTTGTGAGCTTTTTAACGCTCAATTATCACACAATTCAACAGTTTAGGCTATGCCTACCTGTGACGGTGAGTAAACAATGAATTTTGTTGTGAAAAGTTCAAGATATGTGTGAAAAAAACTAGCATGCACAAAACCTCATATTTACATATTTTATTATCACGAAAACACATGCACTTGGTTATGCTTTTCTTTTTTTGAAGAGTATAGATAACAATTTTCTCCCCTCTTGGGAATCAACACTAGATCTCTGCTTATGAAAGCGAAGCTCTTAACCGCTACACCACAGATGCTGGTTCTCTTCCTTTGTATCCATCTGTTCTTTGGTTGTATGCTCTTTCATTGGATGCATCACTTTTTGACGATGTAAAGAATGTATACTTTTGCTCAAGACTGTTGGCATTTTGGAATTAGATTCAATATCACTAAAAGTCAGGCACGAATAATTTAAATACATCGGGGAATGACAAACGTCTTCAACACATCCATAACTCGGGTTAAGGGCTAATGGTGATGTAAAATTGAAGAGATATCAATAAGGGAATGTCAATTTGTACGAGCTATTCATGATTTTCAGTTTTCAGTGTTCGTGTTTTCCGTTCCCAACTAGATCTACATTCATTTTTTCGGGGTGAAATGTGATTTTTTAAAAAATAAACTGGATTTATTGTTGCTTTCTTTACAGTTCGTAAGATGCGCCTAGTCGTGCTGATTAAGAAAATATACACGTTTGCACACTTTTGACTTAAAAAATTAATGTTATGTCACTTTTAAGTCAAAATCAGTTGCGCGTTTCGTCAATGGCGGCCACATTGGCGGCCATATTTGGTCACATGACTTTGCACATTACGTAATACATTGTTTATCATGTAGGCAATTGCATAACCTTTCTGGAAATGTATGATTATCATATGTTTTACAGGCAACTTTTTCTTTGAACTAAGGAAAACTGTTGCTAAGTTGTCTTTCTCATGCCTCATTTCGCACATTTTGGTGCCATACGTAAGTTTATACGTAAGTAATTAATTGTCCCCGAAAAATGCCCAAACTCACATCGAAAAACGTGCGTAACTTTTGAACCGTTTATCCAATCTTAATGCAGTTTCTTTTTGTTTTTCTCAGCTCCTTTAGCTCTATCTAGTGACATATATTTTGGTCAAATTAATCGTTTTTAAATTTTTTCGTGAAACCCCCTGCTTTGAGTCATGTTTTAGAATGAGCCCAGACACATTCTCTACCATTTTAGACCACGTGTGTTTTTGTTTTTGTTTTTTGTACAGACTTTCAAGATGAGAATGTAGAAGCTGTCTCCAGCTGTCCTGAGCTGATCGAGATAGCTTGGCGAGGTTTGGCGGAAATTTCGGGTGTGCTTATTTTAGAAATGACAAAATCACTGCCAGCAATGAGCGGTAGTAAATGCGGGGATATATTTTACTGCTCACTGCTAGCAGTGCACTGCTCAATACGGCGCGGCTACTGCTTTTGGTGCGAAGACCGAATCTATAATATTACTATGATTTAACACGGCTCAGCTACTGCGCAGTTACTGCTCAGCTCAATTGCCCTTAGTGCGTACGACCACTTAGAAATTTACTCACCTCTGCACGCATAACACCCCTGAAAAAGCACACAATATTGAAACCAAACTATAAATTTAATTCGTACTCCTATTAAGCCTATGTCTACTTATGGGCAACGCGACGTCACGTCGCGCATGGCAGTGGTTAGCGATGACTCGCGGGGTTTGCATTCTTTTGCGCGAAATCATAACATGGCGTGCAGACCGGCGCTACTAGGCTATGTATTTTGACCAATTGTGTCGAGGCTTTAACTGTCACACCCCCCCCCCCCCAGTCTGTCGTGCGCTGCGAGGTCTCATTAATTGCGACATAGACCAATGGCAGGCGACGGGTGTAAAGAGACGGGATCTTTATAACCTAACTTGATTGATTTTGGAGTGGCAAAGACTGCGCGCAACTTTGCGTCGCACATTAGAAGACTTACTCTTATTTTTATGTCACAGAAGGCGTTACGTAGTCATTGATCTCTTCTCAATTATCTGACAACATAATCTGGATTCTAAGAATGTTCCTATTTCCTATTCACCACATCAGGATAAAGCATGAAACAAAATTAATAAGAAATAAAAAAAAAATGAAATTAGATTCCTCTCCCTCGTATTATATGTCTGATCCTTCTTCCGCGTTCTCTATCATACCCAATTTTTTATTCAGATTTCAGTGGAAGAATTTGCAGTCGTTTAATCGGGAGCATCCATTACTTTCTGATTTCTTTTTTCAGTTACGTCTCCTCAAAGACCAGGAAAAATAACTCCAATCCTTCCCTGTTCATGTACAACTGAATCTAATACTAATATGAAAATAACATGCCACACGACGTTGCATTGTACAGTCCCATTCGCCTCGCTCAGTGGCCACCCAAGGTTTTGGCCTCGACTCGCCCTGCTTTGCCTAGCTTTCCCTCGCCCACAGTGTAGCTAGAGCTCAGGGGCAGTTCGTGGGTCTTATACGGGGTGCCCACTACGGCTGCATCGGGCCGATCGCCCAACTCGATCGCCTGAAACTGAAAACAAACACGTTTGTTTTTGAGGTGACCGAGTCGGGCTTTCGGCCCGATCGGCCGATCCCATCCGTAGTGGGCACCCGGTATTAAAAGTGGACGTGCACAATTAAGCTATCTTAGACTGAAGATAATCAAGGGCAGAGTAAATGGGATGGTGTATAATTTTAGGATCTTTGGGTTGGTGAAGGAAGACCTTGTGCTTGTATTTTCATTCCTTTACTTGTGGCTTTGACTTCTAGAACTAAATCTGTTTGTTAGCTAAACGTCAATTTCATTCATCCTGCATTAGAACTGAACACTCAAGTAATACCTTTCACCACTCCACTACAAAACCGTTCAAAAGCACAATTCATAGTCATAGGACGGCGACTTAAGTATGTCACGTTCACCTCCCTCAGGTTCACGGTCACAGAGTCACTTAAAATAGTGACAAGACAATGAACCAATCACAATTCACTTGAGCACTCCGCTGCATTGCTCCGGGGCCCACCTAATTTTGGCATGGAATAATGCACAGTCTATGGCGTTTATTTTTAGATTGCCTTCTGTGGGCTATGTTTCGGCGCTATTCGGCAGGAGCACATTTGAGATGTGCCGTCTTATTAATATTAATGTACCGTCAAACTCTCTGCAAGTGTTGTCATCGTTTGGGTTATCCCAAAGAGGGATTTTTAGGTCAGGTTTCCACTGTTGACTATCTTGTTATGTTTAGATACAACGCATGAACTTAGGCATGGCATAGTAAATGTTTTACGGCGCTATAGAATAGAAATGACAGTTACGGCGCCAGCGAGGACCTTGTTTTGATATAAATATTTGGCTAATGTTTGTTTCTGGCGTCTTTTATTTTATCATTGTGGGTGCTATACGTCATAGAACATTAAAACATTTTGGGCGGCACTGCACGACCGTGCTCTATGGACGAACCGCGCCTGCTAGAGCTAAAGTGCGTATTGAGCTTAGACTCAAAGGTAATGTCAATCAAGTGTTGGTGACATGGGGTTTAGATGGGTAGTCACGGCGGGGTGTCCTTGAGCAAGACACGACAGCCCTGGCAAGAAAAAGTAAAAGAAAAAACAAAAAACAAACAAGAACCTGGCACTACACAGCAGCGATCGCCAATGGCATGTTCGAGGAATTACTCTGTATTGGCGTAATATTGTGTATTTATGGATGCATTTATGTATTTACTTGTGTATGTGTGTATTTCTAATTATGTATTTATGTACAGGTTTGTCATTTTTACCAAATTTCCCCCCGGGTATCAATAAACAGTACTTTCTTTCTTTCCTTCTTCCTTTCTTTCATTCTCTTATTAATTATTCAGATTTTAAGTTTGTTTACTCACGCACAAACTACATTTTCCGCCAAATCGCACTGATGGTTGGTTGGGTTGAACATCAGGGATGTCCCACACATCTCGAGACTGCCTGTACCGGCAGACACACACCTGGGAAGATCAGAACACTTAAAGATAACTCAGATATCTTTGTTGGTTTGAATAATACTGTGCATCTGCGCGCGCTTGTGTGTGTGTGTGTGGGGGGGGGGGGGGTGGTGTATGTTTGTGTATGTTTGTGTATGTTTGTGTATGTTTGTGTATGTGTCTCTATGTGGGGGGGGGGGGGGGGGTTTGGTTGGGGGGGGGGACACCAAACAAGTGTCAGGATCTGAACAATAAATACTTATCATATCGTCACAGGACACGGGTTCGAATTCCTAGAGAGTTGTCATAAAGCAAGAAGAAAGAGCTGTACTTGAAAGTTTCGCTTTATTAAGGGGAGGAGCGACCCTTGGTTTTGCCGATTTTGGGTCAAGCTATGCACATTGAGATGTTTGCTGATTTGTCAAGATCAACCAGTTCTTTGTTTAAAAATAGCATGGAAACAATTGAGAAAATCTTTATTCTCCTCTTGAATTGTCTTTCAAAACATGGGGGTGGGTATATAATATAGTGAATTTTCACGATAACCGTCGTTTTTCGCAAATTGTCTTTTTTTTTTTTTTTTTTTTTTTTTACAGTTTTCATCCTTTTGACATGAAACTTCCGGGAAAGGCTGCCATCAATGTAACGGAAATATATTTGCGAAAAAAAACCAAAAACGTTTCCATTGGCAAGCGATTACGCAACCGCAATTATGAAAAACTTTTTTTAAAAACGTTGTGAAAATTCTCTTTTTTTTTCTTTTCCACTTATTGAAAAAAAGTCTTTGATAGTGTCTCGTTCAGGTATACTCTCACCAAATTTGGTCATATTTGGTCATTTAATAAGAAAGCCTTAGGTATTTGAAATCCATTGTTTATTTTCTAGATGGCGGCAGTTTCCATAGCAACTGCTGTAGCTATACCAAAATAAAATTGCGTATCAAAAGATTTTACTATGCCTAACTTATATGTGTACTTAGATTCGATCTCGGGCAACAAACATAGAAAACGGTCCTCAAGGATAGTTGCTCCCGTTAAGAAGAATCATACTACTCGTTTGAGTACTAGAATTTGGGCTCCTTGTACAGTTTTCCCGACTGACGTCCAATCTAATTCTGTCTTAACGGAGTTGGATGTTTAATTCGAACAATCCGTCACTAGTAAAATGTTACTGTGTTTATACGAGCTCTTATCCATAATGCACAACCTCTAAGGCAAGCTCATACAACTGCACATAACAGATTTGAATTACACTATCTTAAACTGTGCACTGGGGGGCTTTCGTGGCCTAGAGGTTAATGTGTTGGCCTCTCATTTAAAGGCCCCGGGTTCGAATCCGGGTAGCGAACGAACATTTTCTTCTCTAAAATTGTCTCCTCTCATCTCCTTTCCGGCTCTCTAGCAATGTTCGTTAGCTTTCGTCTCCTCTTTCTGTCCCTGCCCCCTCCTCTGGGCTCCTGACTCTTTCTGCAGCCTTCCCTACTGCTATTCCCTGGCTCCTTCTTACTGCTGTCTTTCTTCCACACCCTTGATCTTCTGGTAGGAAAGATCTACACCTAGCTGTCTCGGACAAGGGCGAAAATCATCGGAGGACCCGTGTGCACGTTAAAGATCCTCTGGTTGTCTAAAATCGATAAGAGTAGGCTTCGGCCGGGCAAAATTCAAAATTTCCTATCAGCTGAAAAAGTTTAATGTGTCCCTTGTGATCATATGACCTTATGCTGTTGCGAGTGCCGTAAAACACTTACCAAAAAAAAAAAGCGCATTGTCGTGGCCGCCGTTGCTTCGCTGCAAAATGTGTGCACCCTGGACCCCCCCCCCCCCCCGCCCCCCCAATCCAAAATGAGCATCAACTCCCCCCCCCCCACCCAAAAAAACCCCAAACAACCAAAAACAAACCAATCAGTCTCGCTATGCTCGAGTGTCTGCGTCATCTTTTACCCATAACACTTTATTTGTGTACCACATTCAGTCAAACATGGCGCTGCTCAGTGAATCGGAATTACGTGAAAGTGCACGGTTAAAGATATTTTAACTCTTTATCTCCAGCAAGCCGCTCCCAGCGGCTCGCAGTCGGAATTCTGCTGTGCCGGTGAGCCGCTGACAGCGTCTCGGGCACATTCATTTACGACGACTTCGACATTAAGTTACTTTTCGGCAAGGTTTATTTTACCAGAACTTCATTTATTAGATACCGTACTATCATAATAGGTTAGCTTATTTCGATTTAATGACTCATTTAGTGACGTTTTTGTTATTTCGGAAATTAGTTTTTAAAAAAGAGCCCCGGCGTAGTGGGTTTACCACCATCGGAGATAAAGAGATAATACAATACAGTCACTCTTTCAGGTGGCCTTTAACGTTCTTTTTACCCTTACTGTTGTGACTGTTTATAAATTGAAACAGATTCCTGTTTTTGTGGTTGCAAGGAAACTTCTGTGAAAAAAATACAAAATCTAGATTAGTAACTACAAATGAAAGTAAGAAATATACAAACTCATTTCTTGTTTCAGCAGCAACTTCTTTCTATTATTTAAACAGTAACAGTTAAAGTAGACATATTTTACGCCCCAAAAGAAAAAACAAACAAACGAAGAAATCCAGGCAACTAAGACATTGCTCGTAACAGCAACTGTAATTTAAGAACATCGCATTCGCTGTCTCAGCCTTCACCACCACCACATATCATAACCGTCATCTCCACCACAAACCACTAAAACAACAACACCACCACCATCACCAACAGCAGCAAGAACAAAAACAACAACAACAACAACAAAAACAGCAACAACAACAGCAAAAACAACAACAACAATAATAAAGACAACGATAAGAATAGCAGCACGAAAAGTACAATAATTCCGAACAAATTTCTGTTCCAAGTAAAGTAGAGAGAGAGGGGGACTGAGAGAGAGAGAGAGAGAGAGAGAGAGAGAGAGAGAGAGAGAGAGAGAGAGAAAGAAAGAGAGAGCAAATCAAAAGCTAATATATAGATCTGTGTATCAGATAGATGGATAGATATATAGATACATGTCGATAGATAGATAGATAGATAGATAGATAGATAGATAGATAGATAGATAGATAGATAGATAGATAGATAGATAGATAGATAGATATAAACAGACAAACAAACAAACAAACAAACAAACATAAATGTTCACTACTATACTGGACTGTGGAGCAGACTGTCTGTAGCTCCACCGAGAACTCGCGGGTAGGTGTTCTGATGTGGTTTGCTACTTCTTTCCTATCAAACATCTATCGTACTTCTCCTTCCAAATTATGTTTTGTGTTTGTTACTCTCTAGAAAAGTGGCATCAGTGGCCTTGTGGTTAGGCTACAGGACTTGTAATCGTGAGGTTAACGATTCTGGAGTTCAAGCCTCAGCTCGATCCGACGTTGTGTTCTTGGGAAAGGCACTTTACCTGAATTTCCCACTTGGCTCAGTCCTTTCGGAGATGGACGTTAAACTCGGAGGTCTAGCCTCATAACCTAATAGTAATAGTGTTGATAGGGGCATTAAACCTACACCATTTCACCAATTCACGTTCTAGAAACACCTCTAATCTTCGACACTCATATGACCTTATTGTGTTTACACTTACTAAAAACTAAAACCAGAGAACTCACCTGTAGAAGGCTTTACAATCGCCGCACGCAGGATAGTTTCCTGCGGGTACGCCGGAGCACGAGTTTACGCAGTAGACAGGTTCGCTCGTCGCTGACTGGACGCTTGTCTGAGAGGTCGGCGAGGTCACACTGCTGGGCGACAGCGACACCCTCGAGGTCATAGTGGTCACTGATTGTTCGGACACCAACGAGGTGTCTGACACTGCTGACGTCGGAGAAGTCAGGGAAGTGGTTCTATGGACGAAGCATTAATATATAGTGGAGTGTGGGTATTTGATATTGCACGTTTGAATAATACGAAGTATACAATTTTGGAATATTTTAATTTGGTTATAACGGTTACAAATTACCACCAATGCCTGACAATGACGAATATTCATAGGAGAATAATTCTTAACGCGAAATAGAAGAAAAAAGGATTATATTGATTTGCGGCTTCTACTGTTGCCAATGAAAACCAGTTCTGGCAGGAGACGAATAAGCCACATTTTTAGCTTCTTATAAAGCTTTATTTCCATATGTAGATGTGCGCATACGTCATACAGAACACCTTGGGATTGAAACCTGACTTACGCGCAGACAACATTTGCGCTCTGGTCACACTGCCCTGAGACTGGGTTGAACAACAGAGTGTTGGAACAGGACCGGCGTTCTCCTGTGTTGTCGCTGTCGCACCTGGATGAAAGGTTTTGGATGGAAACAAGAAGGCTAGATTGAACTAATTTAGCATCATTAAATCAATTCCTATTACAATAAACTGAACTTGTTATAGAACAAAATGCATTTTGTTTGTGTAAAAGAGAAACACATCGGCACAAAATGGTCATGTTTTGTTTAGAACAAGTAAAACAGGCAGACAGGAGTAACAGAGGGAAAGAAAACAAGTAAGCCCTACCAGAATGAGTTATTATTACACCATTTCCTGATCAAATAACAAAATAGACAGTTCAAATGAAACATAACAAAATCTATTCAAAATAATCAAATCACATTCAACAAAGAATGTTCAAACATCAAAGTAGATGGAGCGAATATAGCACTAGGGAGCTCAAATTTCAAAACAGCGCTTTCAAATGTAACAATAGAGAGTTCAAATTCAACATTGTCAGTTCAAATTTTATACACATTATTTTAAGTAGATAGGTTGTTTGACATGGTCTTGAGCACCCCCCCCCCCCCCCCCCAAGCCCTCATTCCCCCCCTCTCTCTCTCTCCCTCTCTCTCTCTCTCTCTCTCTCTCTCTCTCTCTCTCTCTCTGTTTCTCTCCCTCTTTCTCTTTCTTTCAGTCTCTCTGTTTGTCTCTTGCTTTCTGTCTCTGTGTGTATGTCAGTCTGCCTCTCCCTCTCTTTATCTCTCTGCCTCTCCCTCTCTTTATCTCTCTGTCGCTCCCTCTGTCTCTTTCTACCTCTCTGTCTGTCTGTCTGTCTGTCTCTCTCTCTATCTGTCCGTCTGTCTGTCTGTCTGTCTGTCTGTCTGTCTGTCTGTCTGTCTGTCTGTCTGTCTGTCTCTCTCTCTCTCTCTCTCTCTGTCTCTCTCTCTCTGTCTCTCTCTGTCTCTCTCTCTTAAAATTTGTTAAAAATGGCCTAACCATTTGACAAACAATTTGAATACGAGGTGCGTCTGACAGGGCAGTTTTATTAAAGTCCTGTTTTTATTTCGTCGAAAGTGTAATCTGGATGGCTTTCGACTATCCAGATCCGCTCATCTTTTATTTCCGTGGTTACTTTCCCAAATCTTTTTTTCCTACAATTTTTTTCAGTTTCGATCGATCAGTTTACTGTGCTTTATGCCGTAGATCTACGTCGGTTGATTTGCAACTGTTTAGCGAACATTACGTAATCGCACCCTGCAGAGAGGCTTCTCGTACATCGGTATTCTCTGTTTATCCTCCAGACTCCTTTTATTTTTTTTTTTTTTTTGACAGGCATGCTAAATAATATGTAGCTGTGTCTTCCAGGTAAGATTTGTCACAACGATAAAATTGATTTGTTCGAAGTGTTAGATCTAACAAAACTTGAGGACGGTTAGATCTAGATCTAGACAACGGACGGAAAGAGACGCGAAACAGTAAACGACAAATGTAGCTAAGAGACATATATATATATATATATATATATATATATATATATATATATATATATATATAGATAGATATATATAGATATATATAGATATATATAGATAGATATTATAGATATTATATATCATATATATATGTATTCATTGCTGCATTTGGACTCTCTATCTTGATATTTGATCAGAAAAGGTGTATAACAGTAATACTTTTGTTTTTTTTTAAATTATTATTTCAGTTACTTAAAATGTGAGCGTCGATTCTATGAACTCGGGTTTACAAGGAACACATTGTCCCCGTCGAAAGACAAAAAATACTCTATAAAAGTGTTCCCCATTCAGGAATCGAACCAGGGTCTTCTGCGTGCATCGACCAAGTACCTAACCGCAACGCCACAGATGTTTATTGAAAGTGGAATGAAATAGGATAAGATAAATCAAAATAGGATACAACTTTTCATTATTACCCTTGGGTTGTTTTGGACTTTTATATAATGACAAGTGCAAAGCTTTCAAACATAATTTAGAGGCATCAATAGCTGCATTCTTAGATTGAAACTTAAGATATTATTATTTGCATTGAATTTCTGTGTGACCACCACCGATGCCATGACTGGAGATGTATCCGTTTAATGCCCATAAATTTATGGATCTCAAAAGTATTACCTGTAGAATTCCACACAGTTGTCACAAGCGGCAAAATCTCCAAAGGGGGCGTTGCTGCAGTCCAGAACACAGAATATTTCAGCGCTGGTCAGCGAGCTCTCACTACTGGCTGACGTCTGGCTTGTGCCGCTCGCGGATATGGCTGACGTTTGGCTGATTCTGCTAAGTAATGACGTCAGAGATACATCTGACGTGTCCGATTGCTCAGACGTCATGGATTCTGGTGACGTCATTGATAACTCCGATTGTGGGGACGTCTCTGACAGTGCAGATGTGCCTGACGTTTTTGAAACCTCTGACGTAACGGATTGCTCTGACGCCAAGCTCGAGTCAGATCCTGGTGACGTCATTGATTGTGCGGATTGTTTTGAGATCTCTGACGTGCTGCTCACCACTGACGTGTCGCTGACTGCTGATTGCTCACTTATGTCGGACGTCATAGATACTTCTGAGGTCAGGGAAGACAACCTGTTGAGATGAAAAACAAACTCAAGGGATGCCATTGAATGGACTTTGCATCAAACAAGAAAAGCGTTTTCCAATGTAATTAGCACTTCATTAGGACAATAGAAGGTCATTAGAAGGCTATTGGAAGAATGAAAGACAGCTGTGGAAAGCGGTATAACTGCAACCTTAAAACGTAGATGAGGGAATCCGTGTTCTTTGCTTTTGTAGCACCAAGTTTCATGGAAACGATCTTGGGGAGTTGAAGAATGAGACTTTATAAACATGTATCCTTACTATCAAATACTTATACATTGTATTTCTCAATATATCATACCCATTTTGTAGTGTTTTTGTGCCTTGATCAACAAAATTTATATCATTTAGGGGGTGAGCTTCCACCTTGCTTGTCAGGGCCAACCCAGGCTCAGAGGGATACATTATATCAGTAGAAAGACTGAAACAATGAAAATTCTTCTTACAAGGAATCAGAACTCGGGTTTCCTGCTTGTAACGAAGAAGTCCCTTACCGCCACACCACAGACATTTGTCCCATGGTGTAAGATCAACGTTTTAGATAATGGTGATAGATGAATACTGCTGTTGCTTTTTAAAAAATATATAAGTTGCACATTATTGATTCCAATTGGGATACAATGGCAAACATACATACACAGATACACATTTGTACATACAAATGTACATGCAAAAGATAACAAACATACAACATTACCTCAATGCAGACAATTTTACAAACACATCATTATTGGTCGACACTCTGCTTAGCCTTGTTTTTCTTTCTTTTTTTTCACGGGATATTCTGTCTTGTCCAAATACACACCTCAGAGAAAACCAATCTTAGCTCAGTGTCACTAACATTTGCTTGACATTACTTGTGAGTCTGAACTCACAAATCACTCAGACACTGGAGCTCCCAACTAGTTAGTATGATTTCAAAAAACGATTGGTTAAGAGTCCCTATACATCAAGGAGCACATTTTATTTTTAAGTCAATCTGAAATGATGGCGTTTAGTTTTCAGTGCCAAAACTGAATGTTTTGAAAGGTGAAAATTCTACGCAACATTTTTTTTGACAATTATGCAGCTTCTTGCAAATGCATCATGTTAAACAAAACATTATTTAAAAAATCCAGCAACTAACAAACGAGCTAAAAATAAATAAAATATCCTGGACCTTGAGCAGGCTTTGTTATGACATGCTCAAACGTAAACATAGAATACACAATTTCTTTAGGTCTAATTGTGAAAAGTTCAAAACATGTCAACAAATAAAAATAAAACACCCCCTCACCACCCCCCTTCCAAAATTGACTAATGCTATGCATTAGGGTGCGTGCAGACCAAAAGCCGCGAGCCGAGCTATAGCCGCGGTGCGGCACGATGCGGTTATAAGCGAGTAGCTCTAGCGTGCACACCAAAAGCTGCGACAGCTAACCGCCCGCTAACTGTTAACTAACCCGCGGCTAGATGACAGCTTGTCTGTTCGCACCAAAAGCGCATGCTCAAACATATCATACCGAGCCATGTGCGAGCCAGTAACTTGCTGTTAGTTGGGCAGTGGGTGCTACAATTGTTTATGTGTAGGTTTACATCAGTTTAGGGTGGACAAAAATGACCAGCACTCCAGGTGAACGGAATACTTAGGTATCGTTACATTTGTTGGAACCATCAGTGTATCTCACACATACTTTGTGGCGTCGGTGGCCTAGTGGTTAGGCTCTCGGACTCGCAACCGTAAGGTCGTGGGTTCGAATCCCGTCAAGGGCCCGACGTTGTGTCCTTGGGAAAGGCACTTTACACGAATTTTCCTCACTTCACCCAGGCGGGAATGGGTACCCGGCTATAGACCGCGAAAGATCTTGTCAGTTTGTTAGTGTTTGAGCGCTTAATCGGCTGCTCGCACTGTATGCTTCCCGGGAAGCTGAGAATGTTTCGGAGTGTTCTATGGTCTGCTGGGGTAATAATATAGTGTAAAGCGCATAGAGCCTGCTGCTGAGCGGGGATATGCGCTATACAAATGCTATCTATTATTATTATTTATTTTTTTTTGTATTATATGTACCCATCGGGCCTACAGAAAAATATCTCATGACCACACTCATCACACTAGTATGTTAATAACTGGATTGGAACTACAGAGATAGAGTCTTGGGTAAGACAATAAACTGCATTCCGTCTTGAGTGAACAATGTTAACTGCATATCCGTATTCATAGGCAGTACACTTGGCGTTAAAATGTCTTTTCCATATTTCTTTTTGCCTTCTGTCCAGCTACCCTTTCCTTGTTTCCTGTCCTTTCCTCCTACTATGGCGCCTAAATGACCTAAATTTGTGTTGTCGATGGAGCCATAAAATCCAAAACTTACCACCCCCCCCCCCCTCGAACCAAAAAAACAAAAAACAAAAACATTTTCTTGCAGGAATGACCCTGTCTTCAGGGAATACACGAAATCAAAACACTGGCTATAGAGCAATACTCCTTTAATCCAACACTGTCCATAGAGCTCGTTGATTCATCATCATCATCGCCACCACCATCATCATCATCATCATCATCATCATCATCATCATCATCATCATCATCATCATCATCATCATCATCAGAGCTTCCCGATTGGATGTGGCTGTCTTCGTTGAGAACGGTACTCCCCATCGTGAAGGGGACAGCTTGCCACTTAGAGATGGCTAAGAGATTACCAGACAACCATCCTAGAAAGAAAGCCCTTGATCAAGCAGTCAAGCCTAAAAACCGCAGGAAAAATTGGTTACGGATGGGCACCGATCTAGCAGACCACCTCCCCCCTGAAGCAGAGAATCGATGGCCGATGAATCTGGTGAGAGCTTGTCCATGGGAGACCCATGGCGAAATCGAAATTCGGACAGAACTGAGAGGAGTAAAAGGAAAAGGTGATGATCCTGTAAAGGCACGTGAAGCAACTGAGGATGTGATCAAAGAGGTTGGTGCGGATGTGACAATTTTCACCGATGGATCGTCAGTCGCAGGATACCGCGAAGGTGGAGCAGCAGCAGTAGTGATAATAAATGATGAACCACCACGAACAGAAATTATTAAAACTAAAGGTGCATTCCTTACATCATCTTATGACGAGGAATGCCAGGCAATGATGTCTGCTGCACAATGGATTGCCGACAATTGCCCCAGTAGGACCAATGTGCTGGTCTTGACTGACAGTCAGTCCCTCTGCAAGGGGCTGCTGGGCAACAGCTCAGACATGATTGATTTGCGCCTCAAGTTCAGTGACGCCAGAGCCACAATAAAAATTCAGTGGAATAGAAGGAAATGAGGCAGCAGACCAAGCTGCTAATGAAGCCAGAGAGATCGAAGGAGACAGACGACCAACGACATACAGAGGAGTCTTTCCAATATTCAAGAGAGAAATCAGAGACCCACCATGTAGAACTAAGTACCAGCACCTGGAAGATGTGTATTCTGGGTACTCCTATAAGCGGGAACAAAAATCTATCACATGTCGCTGGGACCAGGTTGAGCTAGCGAGACTGCGTCGGACCATCATTGGAGTTTAAGATGGTTTAAGAACCTTGTAAATGAGAAGCTCAGCCCATGTTGCCGAAGATGCGGCCATGAAAAGGAGGACATCAAACATATGTTTGAATGTCCAGAAACAATGGCAATTCGAATGGAGTTATTTGGACGAGTGGAGATGCTTCTAAGCATATTGACAATGGAGCCGAAAAAGAGCCTCGCTCTCGCTCGAAGATTTCTTCGTGAAGTCCGTCAGGCCCATTAAGGAAACAAAAAAAATCATCATCATCATCATCGAAAAGAAACAACAAAAGATACAAATTAAGAGTAGATTCTGCCGAAAGAAGGATTAGATCTTGAAAAATGACCATAAACACAGTGGTATAACAGGAAATGGTATTTAATATTCAATGTTGGGTGAATTTCAGTGCGTGGAAGTGATAAGTATGATTCCCGTGCACATCTTATAGTAGTAGTAAAGAAACTATATTTTCTCCCTGGCAAGTGACGTTGACGTTATTCTGTATCCATCCTCATCCTTTAGTTTCTTACTCGCGAGTGATAATAATATCATTGTCTAATGATTCCACACCATTGCTTCTTAGTGATTTTCTGGTGACATTTTGTAGTGTTCTACAGACTTCATGATAAGTTTAGGACCACTTTGACAGGCCTGATTTTTTTTTAATCCGAGAAAATGACAGCAAGGAATGTTTCAATTTTTTTTTTTGCTCTGAAAGTTTTAATGGATTACCAATGTGTACTGCAAAGCTTCCTAAAGGGCCAAAACGACCACGTTCAGGACGGAAATCCTCGGGAATTTTAGCCAGATTTGCTGTTTTTTATCAACTTGTGTGCAACAGCCTGAACATTCTTCAGTTGAAATATCTGGTGCACGTCTTAAACGGACGTACGGTCTCGAACTGTGCTCACTTTGGTTGCAATATAAGTCGCCGCTGGCGCAAAATCCAGTATCGGATCAATGTGCCACCAAGACAAAAGCTGCGAGACTTTGATCGTGCCTGAGCTATGGCATGGCTGCAGAATGGAGTTGGAGCCCGAGCAGTTGCCAGAAGGCTTGCTGTGTCACACTCTGTCGTTGTCCCGCTTGAGGCAGCGTCATCGAGTAACTGGATCAGTCCAAGAACGCCCACGGCAGGTCGACCCAATAAGACCATTCAGAGTATTTGCAAGTGGTCCTTAACTTTTGTTGAAGTCTGTATAGACCCTGTGGTAACTTACTCGCTGTTGATGTTATATTACATAATACGAAATAATGGCCAACCACATTCTATCTATCTATCTATCTATCTATCTATCTATCTATCTATCTATCTATCTATCTATCTATCTATCTATCTATCTATC